CCATCTTCTCTCCCCTCCCATCCTACACCTTGCTCCTACACCTTTCACCCGCCTTGCTCCTACACCTTCCAGGAGCCCTCTCCCCAGCCCTTGAGAGACGGCCGACCCCGCTTGAGGTCGGGTGCGCTTGGGTCCCTGGGGCCCTGCTTGCCATCTGGCCTAGACAGCGCATGATCGCCACTAGCAAAAGGCCATTCGCTCGTTCATTCATCATAATGGCAGCCGTTTGTTCAGTGCCAGCGACTTTGGAAACATTATTCCACTTAATCCTGGGAGCCTGAGATTGCAAGTGAACCCCAGGGTCCCACTCTAAGCCGAATGACAAGGCTGCCATATATGTGGCGGTGTGTCACCAGGCGGAGCTTCACTTCAGGGCCTCCCTTCCCGCGGGAGGGCCAATGAGAGATGCTGGATGAGCTGGGAGCCTTCCAGGTAGGGGTGAATGACCAGGGTACCTGATGTGTGTTGCAGTATGAGATGTACACCATCGAGCGGAATGCAGAGAGGACCGCCACCGCCGGGAGGCTGCTGTACGACATGTGAGTGGGACGCTTGTCATCACTTTTACTGCACTGCATCTCTCCATGAGGTTTTGTTTCTGTCTGCAGAAGTGGGAGTTGGGGGAAGATCTTCAAGTTCATCTACATCTTCGATACCTAAAGCAAACCTAGTAAGGAGTCCAGGTCTGCCATAAATTGCTGACATGGCTTTTGCAGAGGAGTTTAATTGTTATTCTTATGTTTTATCCTTGTTAAAACTTCTGTTCCATAATTTATTCTAGAAAGAATATGTGCTCATTGCAAAAATTCAAACACTACTTCTTACAGAGATAAAAAAGTGAAAGTGCCTCCTAAACTCAACCAGAATTAAGTTTTGTAGGCAGTCTATCTATACATATATACATAATACATAAATAGGTTTTTGGGGGGAAGAGGTGACAAAAGTGAGACCATACGACCCTTGCTCTGCAGCATGCTTCCTTTACTCACTGTAATGGATCCCTTCCCATATCAGTATGTGGAGATCCACTTCATTCCTTTTCATGCCTATGTAGTATTTCATAGCCACTCTTCTTGGTAGACATTTAAATAGATAGTTTTAAATTATTTGAAATTGTGTTCAGTGTGTCAACAATTTTGTAGTCATATTTTGGTGTTTTTCTGTGGAATAGATTCTAAGACATTTTCATAGTTAAAGGTTATGCGCATTTGAAAGTTTGATACACTATGAAATTACTCTCCAAAACGGGTGATCCCAATCTACATTACCACCAACGGTATATAAAGAATGTGTTTTCCCATACCCTTCCCAACATTGGATATTATTAGTCTCCTTTTAGTTCCTACCACTGTGATAGGAGAAAATAGTATCTTGCTAGTTTTTAAAAAAATATGTACTACTCGTACTAAGATTCAGTATTGTTTCAACTGTTTTCTTTGGCTATGTGTATTCTGTGATTTGCCTTTGCCTATTTTTTCTTTCGAATAGTTTGTTTTATTCTTGTTGACTTTTAGGATTTCTTTCTATATTATGGTTACTTGTCTTTTCACCTGTAAATCCCACTAAAGACTTATGTGAGTATTCTCATTTTTATAAATCAAATAATTCTTATTTTTACATTTTTATTTTGGTTTGTTTTGGCACGTCTAAGCATTCACTTGGACTAAAGGAAACTTTTTCATCAAACGCTAATGTTTTTTCTTTTGGATACTGTATAGACTTTGACATTTGAATTTAATGTATTTATTTTAAAAATAGGTTTGTGAATTTCCCAGACCAGCCGGTGGTGTGGAGAGAAATCAGCATTATTACATCAGCATTAAGGAATGATTCACAGGACAAACAAACCCAATTCTTAAGAAGTAAGAATAATGGTGTATAAGTTACCATTTCTGGAATACCAAATCATAGATAGTAATTTCACACACAAAAAAGTCACACCTGGGGTATTGATAACCATATGTATGTTTTATTCTTGGCAACCAAAGTCTATAATAATGTCACTCAGTTCCTTGATTTGCTTAGAACCGTTTAAGCTTCTTTAAAGGATATGGATTTGTCAGTGAGACAAGGAATTAATTGTATATATTTTTAACAGGTTTTACAGTAACCAGATAGCTGCTATAGATTAACCAGCTCTCCACAAAACAGGAGAGAAGCTTTTAGTAATTTAGAAGCTTCCTCTTTAAACTTCTCCATGTTGCTGTCGTCAATCAAAGATTTCAAATTCTACATAAAATAGCAAGTAGATGTTTAGGTCATTTCAGCTTCAAAAAGCACATGCTCTCTATCTCAGCCTGCAACAGGCATTCTTGTGACCATTCACATACGTCACTGTTTTTTGAATTTGATCAGTCTGCCAAATATTTTACCATTTTTCAGCAAACATCCTGTGCCAGATACTATTGGCCCCAAAAGGCTGCCAGGTTGTAGGTAAAACTTAACCACATTGATTTCACATGTAGTGTTTACTGTTCTGTACATGAAAATGCCTTACTCAGCACTTTTGCTGCAGTCTTTGCTGTCCGCAAGAAACTTTTAACAGTGAAATATGTTTCGTACAGGTTTATTTGAAACTCTGCCTGGTCGGGTCCAGTGTGAAATGTTACTAAAGGTCACGGAACAATGCTTCAACACGTTAGAACGATCAGAAATGTTGCTTCTACTTTTGAGGCGCTTTCCTGAAACGGTGGTGCAACATGGGGTGAGATTTTATTCTTCCCCTTCTCTTAATATAAAATACAATAGGTCATCAACAGATTCATCGGTATGGTGAGGAGCTGCAAAGCAGAAGTTTCTGAAGAGCACTGGTGAAGATTGAACTGAAATAAAAGGTTCTTTGTTAGTAAAGCTAAACGGACATTCTTTTTACCAAATTTTATAAGTTTCCAGGAGAAGCTGTTTTATCAGAAAAGTTACCAAGCTCTGACAGTACTATTTATTTGCAATCTGTATGGTAAAAAGAAATCTTTTTCCATTGTATTCTACAATGTGCTTTTGAATTTAGGGTACAGTTTATAGTTTTTTAACAGATGCGTTTTTCCTGTGCTTCTGCCCTATGGAGACTGTTCTCATTCTATTCCTGCCCTTCATCTATAATAATCATTGAGTGCTATTGGCAGGCATGGGTAAGTGCTAGGTATCTCCTATCTTCCTAAACCCCCTGAAGTAAATAGTATCCCACTTTACAGATGACGAAACTGAGCATTTCATGTTTTAGTAACTTCCCGTAGCCAGTGAGGTGTCAGGATTCAAACCGTTCATTCGATTGGTTCATACTCTGTGGCTTATTCTTTCCCATGCCATTTTTCTGGCATCTGGCCCTGGTTAATCATTTCCATACCTGCTTGTGTTAGTCTCCTAGGGTTGCCATAACAAAGTACCACAAACTGGGTAGCCTAAAACAACAGAAAGACTCTCACAATTCTGGAAGCTAGAAGTGTAAAAGCCAGGTGTTGGCAGAGCCATGTTCCCTCTGAAGGCTCTGGGGAAGAATCTTTCTTTACCTTTCCCTGGCTTCTGATGGTTGTCAGTACTCTTTGGCATTCCCTGGCTGGCAGCTGCATCACTCCTCCAATTTCTCCTCCATCATCACATGATCTTTCTTTTGTGCCTGTGTCTTTACATGGTCTTTTTTTGTTTTTTGTTTATTTGTTTTTGAGGCAGAGTCTTGCTCTGTTGCCCAGGCAGCAGTGCAGTGGCATGGTCTTGGCTCACTGCAGCCTCTGCCTCCTGGGTTCAAGCAATTCTCATGCCTCAGCCTCCTGAGTAGCTGGGATTACAGGTGTGTGTACATGGTCATGTTATAAGGACGCTAGTCATTGGAGTGAGCGCCTTTCTAATCCACTATGACCTCATCTTAATTAATTATATCTACAAGGGCACTTTTTTTTTTTTTTTTTTTGAAACGGAGTCTTGCTCTGTCGCCCAGGCTGGAGTGCAGTGGCCGGATCTCAGCTCACTGCAAGCTCCACTTCCCGGGTTTATGCCATTCTCCTGCCTCAGACTCCAGAGTAGCTGGGACTATAGGCACCCGCCACCACGCCCGGCTAGTTTTTATTTTGTATTTTTTTAGTAGAGCCGGGGTTTTACCGTATTAGCCAGGATGGTCTTGATCTCCTGACCTCGTGATCCACCCGTCTCAGCCTCCCAAAGTGCTGGGATTACAGGCTTGAGCCACCGCGCCCAGCCAAGGGCACTTTTTTAAAAAAAGTTAAGATATATATGAGGTCACATTCTGAGTTTCTGGGGGGATATGAATTTGGGAGACACTGTTCAGCCCAGCACACTTTCTGGTCATAACTGTGACCTTTAACCTTCTGTGTGATGTTACCTTTTGCACTTTTCCACTCCTATGAGGCATCCCTGTGTGGTCACAAGGAAGCTGATATCAATGTCTTAGTGGATTTGGGTAAGGGACTATCTACTATGCTAGGGCATCAGCAATGGAAAGGTAGCCTTAAAACTCTGACCTTTCTGCCCAGTCTACGCCAGACTGTATGACTGGCTACTCCTGAGAACTTATTTTGAACATGATACGTTTTGTCTATATTGATACATCTTCATGTAGAGAATAAACTCTAGTTTCTTTATTTCTTAGAAAATCTCTGCCTCCAGTTCCAGTGCTTCCTTTACATTTCTATAGACATTTTGTTAATTCTTGTTAATCGTTAATTAGAATTTTGCTAATTCTGAAGAGAATAACCAAGACAGAGTGGTCAGATGTTCAGGTGAATTTGGCCTTCTAGGGTGTGTGGCTGGTGCATTCTTTTACTTTCTAGTCTTTAAAATGTGATTATTTGTTTCTCAGATAAGTTTGATTACACAAACTGTGATAAGTAAAAAAAAAAAAAAAAAAACCCATTACTTCATATAGTTCTGACAACTTACGCTGTAACACATTTAAATGATTAATTTTGTTTTGAAATAGGTTGGCCTTGGGGAGGCACTGTTAGAGGCTGAAACTATTGAAGAACAAGAATCTCCTGTGAACTGCTTTAGAAAATTATTTGGTAAGGAAAATTGTATTCTCTGTTACTTCTACGGTAAGTTAATATGCTGGGGTAAGTGTTGGTTCAGGGATAAGCTCATATATGGAAGGCAAAGGAGCTCTATGTGTTATGGCATTTAGTTCTTTCTTTTTTATTTAGAAAGCATTTTAGCTAGGCATGGTGGCTCATGCCTGTAATCCTAGCACTTAGGGAGGCTGAGGTGAGTGGATCACGAAGTCAAGAGATCGAGACCATCCTGGCCAACATGGTGAAACCCTGTCTCTACTAAAACTACAAAAATTAGCTGGGCGTGGTGTTGCATGCCTGTAGTCCCAGCTACTAGGCAGGCTGAGGCAGGAGAATTGCTTGAACCCGGGAGGCGGATGTTGCAGTAAGCCGAGATCATGCCACTGCACTCCAGCCTGGTGACAGTGAGACTCTGTCTCAAAAAAAAAAAGCATTTTAAACAACTTCTAAACTTCCGTTATGTAAGATCTGATACCTCTGAAAGAATATGATAACTGTATATGTAAGTATGAAGCATAATAATAAAGAAGCATCTGAATTCAATGGAAGAACTGCACCCTCACCCACAGCGTAGAACTGCCCGTGTGTTTCCTCCCTGACTCCAGCTACTGGTGTCTCTGCACAGCACATTTTGAATACATGAGTCATAAGGGATTTTCCCCCTATATATTTTAGATACTACATCAAATGAACTCTAAAAGCTTTTGTATCTGTTGGAACTCTAGGGTAGATAACCTAATTAATTTATTTCTTCTTTTTCTCCTCCAACAGTTTGTGACGTCCTTCCTCTAATAATTAACAACCATGATGTTCGACTGCCTGCCAATTTATTATATAAGTACTTGAACAAAGCAGCTGAATTTTATATCAATTATGTCACTAGGTCTACTCAAACAGAAAATCAGCATCAAGGTAAGGAGGAATATCCTGTACTTTTATTTAAATAGGCTTTAGTAAAATTGCAAATTCAGAAACCCCTCAATGTTCTGATTATTCTCCTCTGGATACTTACTAGTTTGGGAGTGTTTCAAAAGATGGTATCTAGAAAAAAATACTAGAGTTAAAAGGTGAGGCTTTTCTGGAAGCAATGCCACCCCTTGATCCAAACAGTCTTCTGGCTGAGCTGTAACATTATTGCATGGAACATCATACATGTACCATGATGAAGTAGTGGAAATTACTTCTTGCTTATACCAGTGGCCTGTTGTCGGTCCTTGAGCAAAACATAAATGCGTTGGAATTCTGTGCTCTGTGCGTTTTCATGGGGAGTCAGACTTTCTTCATCAGGTACCACGTCAACAATAAGTCATAATGTTAACTGTAGGTTCCTTTTTTCTTCCATCTCAGGTGCCCAGGATACATCTGATTTAATGTCACCTAGCAAACGTAGCTCTCAGAAGTATATAATAGAAGGGCTGACCGAAAAATCATCCCAGATCGTGGACCCTTGGGAGAGGTTGTTTAAGATTTTAAATGTTGTTGGAATGAGATGTGAATGGCAGATGGATAAAGGAAGACGGTAATAAATAGCTTATTTCCAGAATTGCCTATTGATTCTTTTGGACCCTTATAAAAACGAAAACATGCTTTTTAAAACTGTAATATGCCTAGGTATAGTTTTTGGGCAAATTTTGTGACACTCAATACTTATGCAAAAGAGGATGGTTTTTCATTTGATCAAAAGATTTCTGGCTGGGCACAGTGGCTCACACCTGTAATCCCAGTGCTTTGGGAGGCTGAGGTGGGCAGATCACTTGAGGTCAGGAGTTTGAGACCAGCCTGGCCAACATGATGAAACCCCATGTCTACTAAAAATAAAAAAATTAGCCAGGCATGGTGGTAGCGTGCCTGTAGTCCCAGCTACTTGGGAGGCTGAGGTGAGAGAATCACTCCGTCGGGAGGCGAAGGCTACGATAGGCCAAGATCACACCACTGCACTCCAGCCTGGGCGACAGAGTGAGACACTGTCTCCAAAAAAGAAGAAGAAAAAAAAAAACAGATTTCTTACTGAAATATGAACTCTTAAGACGATGTTGTGTTTGAACTTCTTGCTACTTCAGAGAAAAGCTACTTAGCATGTTTGTGTCATGAAATCTTGATCACCACCCTAATTCAGAAGGGAAAAGTTACTATTTATCTTGGACAATAAAGAATAGTTTTACATGCCTAGAGCAACATTTGGTACATGTAATGGCACCACCAGAGCTTTCCTTTAGACTTTTTGCTGACCAGCCCAGAGTAATCGAGTAAGTTTCATCACTCCTTCTTTTTTAGAAGCTATGGAGATATTTTGCATAGAATGAAGGATCTCTGCAGATACATGAACAACTTTGATAGTGAAGCACATGCGAAGTATAAAAACCAAGTGGTGTATTCCACCATGCTGGTCTTCTTTAAGAATGCGTTCCAATATGTCAACAGCATACAGCCGTCTCTCTTCCAAGGTTAGTTTGCAAATTTTACAGTGTCCAAAAAGCTGGTTCATACTGTGGGGATGGTAAGGAAGATGAAAGTGCTTATCCACTATTGTTGGATCCGAATAACTGTGGGGCGGTACCAGTCCTTTTTATAGTTGGTGATTTGGTTTTGTTTAGTTTGGCTTAATTGGTAGTTTTTATGTAAGTATGTTTCATTAAAAGTTTCTATATCAAAGGGCATAATGGTACTGCACAACTAAATACAGATATCAAATGCCACTATTTTGAAAATAACGGCAGGCTGGGCACGGTGGCTCACGCCTGTAATCCCAGCACTTTGGGAGGTGAGGCCAGCGGATCACTTGAGGTCAGGAATTTGAGACCAGCCTGGCCAATATGGTGAAACCCCATCTCTACTAAAAATACAAATATTAGCCGGGCATGATTGAGAGCACCTGTAATCCCAGCTACTTGGGAGGCTGAGGCAGGAGAATCGCCTGAACCCAGTAGGCACAGGCTGCAGTGAGCTGAGGTTGCACCTTGCACTCCAGCCTGGGCAACAGAGCAAGACTCCATCTAAAAAAAAAAAAAAAGAAAAAACCAGTAGATGTAACAACATATTTAAGTAGATTTCATGAAGACATCACAATAGGCAAAGATTTATTCAGTAAAATATCCATTTTATATATAGAGTGTATGCATAAATATACTGTAGAAAATTTGAAAACTGGAAATAAGAGTGAAATCACCCACAATCCTTCCAGTATAATACAGCATTTGTTTTTATGTATTGCCTTATAATATCACATATATTTAGATTTTGTTTGGAATTTGTAACTATAATGTAAGTATAATTTGGTAGTCTTTTTATGGTACTTTAATGACTCATGATCATTATAAAAAATTTGCAGATACATAACAAATACAAAGAAGGAACTGTCACTTGTATTCCACTACTGACAGGAAGTCTTTAACAATTTGGTATATATCTTTACAGTCTTTTTTTTCTGTGCATCTACTTGTTTGTTTACCTAATTGAGATCACACTGAACATATTTTTAATGACTTTTGTCAAGACAGTTGAGTAAGCTTCTCCCTTGTTTTAAGTATCCTTTTCCTAGCTGCATTTTTAAATTATTTATTTTTTTATTTTTTAAGTTTTGCTCTGTTGCCCAGGTTGGAGTGCAGCGGTGTGATCTCGGCTCACTGCAACCTCCGCCTCCCGAGTTCAAGCAATTCTCCTGCCTCAGCCTCCCGCGTAGCTGCGACTACAGGCGCTGCCACCATGCCTGGCTAATGTTTTGTATTTTTAGTAGAGACAGGGTTTCGCCATATTGCCCAGGCTGGTTTCAAACTCCCGAGCTCAAGCAATCCGCCCACCTCAGGCTCCCAAAGTGCTGGGATTATAGGCATGAGCCACCGCGCCCGGCCTCCTTGCTGTATTTGTAAGTGTTGGTGTTTTTCCCCATCCTTAGGTCCTAATGCCCCGAGCCAAGTTCCACTGGTTCTTCTCGAAGATGTATCGAACGTGTATGGTGATGTAGAAATTGACCGTAATAAACACATCCATAAAAAGAGGAAACTAGCTGAAGGAAGAGAAAAAACCATGGTAAGGCTTTCAAATATACTTACTAACAGATTGGATGGCACGGTTTGCTAGAGATGAATCCCTGTAAAATGTGGCTTTGGAGCTAAATCGATAAAGCTTGCGTTTGAAAATTGTATGATATATTAATAATTACTAAGTCAGTGGTTCTCCACTGGAGGTGATTTGCCCTTTAGGGGACATTTGGCAATGTCTGGAGACATTTTTGGTTGTCACAGCTTGGTGGGGAGGGGCCAGGGATGCTGCTGAGTACTTCACAGTGTACTGACCAAAAGGTCAGTGATGAGGTGGAGAACCCATGGTATACGTTCCTTACACATGTTTTGACTGAATGGCATTGATTCCGTTTAAAAAACAAAACCAACATGGCATCGGGGCTCTAGAGCAGGGTGCAGTGTGGGGTACCGGCTTCAGAATGGAAAGCTCTGAGGTGTGCAGGGCAGCAGGAACAGCCTGTGGGCAGATGCAGAAAAGATTTCATGAAGGAGATCAACACTGAAATCAGTGCTGAAAGATGAAGGGTTTTGTCCGTTGGAACTGGGAGGCAGATTTTGTTGAGAGGGAAAAATTTGCACAAAGGTGCAAGAAGCCCGAGAACGTGAAGAGTCGTCAGTCCTAACCTGACCAAGCAGTGCCCCAAGCCCGTCGAGGCTGTGCTCTGTGGTTACAGCGCTTTTCCCTCGGATCTCTGCGCTGCTAGGTCCTTGTCACTTGGTCCCAGCCCAAACGAATCTCCCTCTGAGGCTTCTCCTGAACACCCATCTGAAGTAGCTGTCCGGGTCTCTCTTTTTATTCCTCTGTTTTAATTCTCTGCGGCATCCTCCTTGCTATCTGTGTTTTCTTGTTTATTCACTGACTGGTTTACTTCTTCACTAGAGTACAAGCTCCGTGGGGCCTAGCATTTTCTCTACCTCATCCTGTACCATACCCCAGGCATCTGAGTAGTGCCTGGGCTGGAGCAGGTGTGTGGCGACCATCTGGTGAAGGAGGGACTTCCCATTGATCCCTCCTAGGTTTGGTGTGCAGGCTATGGGATGGCTGTTTAAACCTGGCCCAGCTGTTCTTCCTTCCGGTTTTTTTTTGGCCTGTCAAGCACTCATCTAGCGAGCCCTGTTCTCATAACCCGGCCTTCCACCCAATATGGGATTTCCATCCATTTTTGTTTTCATGGTCTTAACTGATTTCATCCTGATTTTCATTCTATCCCTGAGTCTGCCCCAACCTGATGCAGGTCCAGACCTTAAAGGCCCATGAGCTCAGCTCAGAGATATCCTGCTTTGCTCACAGTGTTTTGTTTGTTTAAATAACCTAGCATTTAAAAATTAGAAACCAGGCTGGGTGCAGTGGCTCACGCCTGTCAAGATGTGTATAAGAGACAGCCTGTAATCCCAGCACTTTGGGAGGTGAGGCCAGCTGATCACTTGAGGTCAGGAATTTGAGACCAGCCTGGCCAATATGGTGAAACCCCATCTCTACTAAAACTTAGCTGGGCGTGGTGGAGAGCACCTGTAATCCCAGCTACTTGGGAGGCTGAGGCAGGAGAATCGCCTGAACCCAGTAGGCAGAGGCTGCAGTGAGCTGAGGTTGCACCTTGCACTCCAGCCTGGGCAACAGAGCAAGACTCCATCTAAAAAAAAAAAAAAAAAAAAAACCAGTAGATGTAACAACATATTTAAGTAGATTTCATGAAGACATCACAATAGGCAAAGATTTATTCAGTAAAATATCCATTTTATATATAGAGTGTATGCATAAATATACTGTAGAAAATTTGAAAACTGGAAATAAGAGTGAAATCACCCACAATCCTTCCAGTATAATACAGCATTTGTTTTTATGTATTGCCTTATAATATCACATATATTTAGATTTTGTTTGGAATTTGTAACTATAATGTAAGTATAATTTGGTAGTCTTTTTATGGTACTTTAATGACTCATGATCATTATAAAAAATTTGCAGATACATAACAAATACAAAGAAGGAACTGTCACTTGTATTCCACTACTGACAGGAAGTCTTTAACAATTTGGTATATATCTTTACAGTCTTTTTTTTCTGTGCATCTACTTGTTTGTTTACCTAATTGAGATCACACTGAACATATTTTTAATGACTTTTGTCAAGACAGTTGAGTAAGCTTCTCCCTTGTTTTAAGTATCCTTTTCCTAGCTGCATTTTTAAATTATTTATTTTTTTATTTTTTAAGTTTTGCTCTGTTGCCCAGGTTGGAGTGCAGCGGTGTGATCTCGGCTCACTGCAACCTCCGCCTCCCGAGTTCAAGCAATTCTCCTGCCTCAGCCTCCCGCGTAGCTGCGACTACAGGCGCTGCCACCATGCCTGGCTAATGTTTTGTATTTTTAGTAGAGACAGGGTTTCGCCATATTGCCCAGGCTGGTTTCAAACTCCCGAGCTCAAGCAATCCGCCCACCTCAGGCTCCCAAAGTGCTGGGATTATAGGCATGAGCCACCGCGCCCGGCCTCCTTGCTGTATTTGTAAGTGTTGGTGTTTTTCCCCATCCTTAGGTCCTAATGCCCCGAGCCAAGTTCCACTGGTTCTTCTCGAAGATGTATCGAACGTGTATGGTGATGTAGAAATTGACCGTAATAAACACATCCATAAAAAGAGGAAACTAGCTGAAGGAAGAGAAAAAACCATGGTAAGGCTTTCAAATATACTTACTAACAGATTGGATGGCACGGTTTGCTAGAGATGAATCCCTGTAAAATGTGGCTTTGGAGCTAAATCGATAAAGCTTGCGTTTGAAAATTGTATGATATATTAATAATTACTAAGTCAGTGGTTCTCCACTGGAGGTGATTTGCCCTTTAGGGGACATTTGGCAATGTCTGGAGACATTTTTGGTTGTCACAGCTTGGTGGGGAGGGGCCAGGGATGCTGCTGAGTACTTCACAGTGTACTGACCAAAAGGTCAGTGATGAGGTGGAGAACCCATGGTATACGTTCCTTACACATGTTTTGACTGAATGGCATTGATTCCGTTTAAAAAACAAAACCAACATGGCATCGGGCCTCTAGAGCAGGGTGCAGCGTGGGGTACCGGCTTCAGAATGGAAAGCTCTGAGGTGTGCAGGGCAGCAGGAACAGCCTGTGGGCAGATGCAGACAAGATTTCATGAAGGAGATCAACACTGAAATCAGTGCTGAAAGATGAAGGGTTTTGTCCGTTGGAACTGGGAGGCAGATTTTGTTGAGAGGGAAAAATTTGCACAAAGATGCAAGAAGCCCGAGAACGTGAAGAGTCGTCAGTCCTAACCTGACCAAGCAGTGCCCCAAGCCCGTCGAGGCTGTGCTCTGTAGTTACAGTGCTTTTCCCTCGGATCTCTGCGCTGCTAGGTCCTTGTCACTTGGTCCCAGCCCAAACGAATCTCCCTCTGAGGCTTCTCCTGAACACCCATCTGAAGTAGCTGTCCGGGTCTCTCTTTTTATTCCTCTGTTTTAATTCTCTACGGCATCCTCCTTGCTATCTGTGTTTTCTTGTTTATTCACTGACTGGTTTACTTCTTCACTAGAGGACAAGCTCCGTGGGGCCTAGCATTTTCTCTACCTCATCCTGTACCATACTCCAGGCATCTGAGTATTGCCTGGGCTGGAGCAGGTGTGTGGCGACCATCTGGTGAAGGAGGGACTTCCCATTGATCCCTCCTGGGTTTGGCGTGCAGGCTATGGGATGGCTGTTTAAACCTGGCCCAGCTGTTCTTCCTTCCGGTTTTTTTTTTGGCCTGTCAAGCACTCATCTAGCGAGCCCTGTTCTCATAACCCGGCCTTCCACCCAATATGGGATTTCCATCCATTTTTGTTTTCATGGTCTTAACTGATTTCATCCTGATTTTCATTCTATCCCTGAGTCTGCCCCAACCTGATGCAGGTCCAGACCTTAAAGGCCCATGAGCTCAGCTCAGAGATATCCTGCTTTGCTCACAGTGTTTTGTTTGTTTAAATAACCTAGCATTTAAAAATTAGAAACCAGGCTGGGTGCAGTGGCTCACGCCTGTAATCCCAGCACTTTGGGGGGCCAAGGTAGGAGGATCACCAGCCCAGGATTTTAAGACCCACCTGGGCAATATAGTGAGACCCCATCTCTATAAAAAATGAAAAAAAAAAACTAGCTGGCTGGTGGCATGCCCCTGTCATCCCAACTGCTTCAGAGGCTGAGATGAGAAGACCCCTTAAGCTCAGGAGTTCAGGGTTCCAGTGAGTGATGACCACACCACGGCCCTCCAGCCCGAGCAACAGAGGGAGACCCTGTCTGTAAAAATAAAATAAAATAAAAAATAGAAACCTAGCATTTCTCATAACCATCCAGATTTCTGACTGACTTCCTTTTTGTAATTAGGTTATCTGATCACACTGGCTCCCGGTGGTAACCCACAACTGGAGTTGAGGGG